AAATTGTGATTAGTTTGTTAGCATTTCTTGTTTGATATGTAGTGGCTAGATTAAGTAAGCAATAAACCTGTGAGTGTTTTGAGCCACTGACTGACACTTCGGTCTTATTTTCTTTCTTTTGTGTGATTTCTTCCATAATTTTGTTTCTCTAGAACTTGCCTTGATTCTCTTTTAAAGCTAATTAGACCATGCATGATTCAAATGTGATTAAGGCCATTATTTGATTTTGAGCCTCACTAGCCAAATAACCGGTTTGTCCCATGATTTATTTTCCTTCGTTAACCCACTTTGAGCTTTATGGCCATTCTTTTCTTTATTTTGAACCACATTACAAGCCTTTTATATCTAAAAATAATTCCTTCACCCAGCTGAATAACTAGTGGAGCAAATTTTGAATTATTCTTGTAATCTACGTGAGGTTGTGAGGAAGAAGTGTGGGGGAGGTCACTTTCTTGTGTTAATATGATTGAGAATGAGGTGGGTTGTATCTTCATTACCGATTTGTCGCTGGTCCTCTACGAAAAAGAAAACGAAGACAATTCATGATTCCAAAAAAAATATGGAGACTGAAAAAAAATGAAGAAATGGGAGAAATGATGAATGTATGTTGAAAAAAATAAATGTTGCTGAAATTTATGAGAAAAATGAGAAAGAATCAGCAATTAGTTTTGAGTTGAAGCCACTCCTAAATAAATGAAGCAAGGAGAAGTTCTTGTAATTTTGAGGAAGAATTCTATATTTCTGAGAATGATAATTGGGTTGAAATGTCAATAGGAAATGCTTTGAATGAAAAACTGAGGGTGTTGATGAGCAAGGGTGTTAGATTCTTTGTATTTAATTGCTCCTCTAGTTTGAAGGTTTTGTTTAAACTACTTTCCTAAAAATTCCCTACCTTAACCCTAGCCCCATTACAACCTGTGAGAAGCCCTTATGATTTGTGTCATGCATGACTCTTGTAGTGGTGATTGAGAAGATATGCAAGCCTATGGTAGATCAATTTTATAGGAATGAACTTGAGTGAAATTTATACCCATCAAACACTTGAGTGATGAGTGATATTCCTGTGAGGGCTTACTTATTTAGTTTTCTCCATTTTCAAACAGGGTGCTAACTTATTAATTGCAGGGTGCTTCAGATTGTTGTTCATGATATGTTATGAGTTTTGGGAATTTCATTTCTATTTACTTCGCAAATAACTTTTTTTTTTTGCTTGGGGACAAGCAAATGTCTTAGTGTTGGGGAATTTGATATGCACATTTAACACTCATATTTTAGGTACATCTTTATAATATTTTTATATTAATTATTTAATATTATTTAATAATTATTTCATTTTAGAGTTTAATAATTAATTAGTTAAATAAGTATTTTATAATAATATTTAGTTAATATATAATTTGTGTTTTGAACCCAAAAGCTTCCTCTCTACTTTAATTTAATATTAAGCATTTTTTTCGTCCCAATTACTACAAAAATGACAAAACAAATAAAACATTTGTGTTTCTTGATTCTTTCGTACAGCGCATACGACAAAATAGCAAGAATTGAATTGTCAAATGTGAAGGCTATTCCGTCGGCGACTCTTTTGCGGAAGTGCATGCGGCGAGAAAAAAAAGAGGAAATGGATGGTGCGGGTGGATTTGTGTTTATTTTTAGAATGCTATAAATAGTAGTAGTTTTCATTTGTAAATCGTTCATTCTTGGTTCATTCTCCCCCTCTCGAATATTCTTTAAAGTTGTTATCAATGTCCATTCGTGGCTAATTTCTAGTTTGGTTTAGTGAATTGAAGCCCCGGAGTTCATTATGCTGTAAGGTTATTTATTTATTTTTATTATATATATTTTTATGCATTTGAGTATTAAATATTCTTCTAAATTATTTGAATAGTTGTATCATTTAATTGCTAGGGAGGCCTACTAGTTATATAATTGATATAATTATTTGCTATATTAGATAATGTTGTGCTACAAATTATTCTAATATTCAGTAGCAACTGAGGTTAATTATTGACGGCTTAGTGATAATTGGTCTCGGGTAGAATATTTTCCTAAATTAAATGCAACCGCTTGTGCTTGTGTTATTTAGTTTGTCGGTTTTCCTGGTTCCTATTGCTGCTATTAAATTAAATCTATAGCGCTTGTCTTAGATTATTTAGTAGTTAGGGGTAATTAAACCGCTTGTGCTTTATTTACCTACAACTAAGGGAAAACAGAAACGAAATAATTTCACGACAAATATTCAATTGCATATTAATTACTTTATTAATCAATGATCAGTGTTGAATTCCGGTGGTGGATCTTTACTAACCAAGGTCTCCTATTATAAGTGTTTTCGATATATTATTTTCATTGCTTTATTCGTTCAATTAAATTTCTTGTTTATTTAAATTCTCTTTTATTTTATCTTTATTCTCGATATATTCCAAACCCCCCTACCTTTAATTTGAGCACAAAAGTTAAACTAGTTACTCCTCGTGGGATCGATCCTTACTCCCGCTACTACGTTTGTAAGGTTTTAATTTGGGAGCCTACGACAGCTCACCATTTGGCCAGCCAATAGATTTGACGAGACGTTGGCGTGGAGTGTTGCGACCGTGTTGGCATTGTTGCATCTTTGCATTGTGGTGCAGAGTCGCGGCATTGCAACTTTGCGGTGGTGCGACATGGTGGCGCAACAGTACATTCTAGTCTAAGAAACATCTGTTATGCTGCCGCTAGCTATTGGAAATTATTGAATTTTCGACCACCTGAAAGTGATCTTAAATCAAGTCGAAAGTAAAAAGTGATCGGAAATAGCAACAAACGTTTTTCCGGATACCAAAATTGGTCAGAACAAGGCTTTCGACTTATTTAAGATAACTTTCAGGTGGTCGGAAATTCCATAATTTTCAGTAGTGTTATTTGGGCTTGGGTCAATTCTTTTATTTTATTTCTTTCATTCTTTATACCTGACCTGTTATTGGGGTTTTTGGGTCTGTTCTTTATTTAGATTTCTTTAGATTAGTATGGGCTCAATCTAAAGGGCTAAGTATGGTTTATGGTCACTTTTGAACCATCTTTTGTAAGTCCCTCTAATTCCTTTGATTAATAAAATATATTTTGTTAAAAAAAAAAAAACTACAAATCTGACCCGGTTTCAACTGTGATTATATATATATATATATATATATATATATATATATATATATATATATATATATATATATATATAGTGTAAGGTTCTCGTGCGGTTGAATGCTTCCCGTGCGGTTGCGCGGTTGATTAATGTGCGTGAGGTTTGTACTCAATGTGCGTGAGTATTGTGTTTAATGTGCCTGAGATTTGTACTTAATGTGTGTGGGTGTGTAATGTTAATGTGCGTGAGTTTTGTACTTAAGGTGTGTGAGTCTTGTGCCAAAGATGCGTGAGTTGTGTGCTTAATGTGCGTGAGTGTGTTCTTCATCCGCTGCTGTGAAAATTATGCGCATCCACTACTGCATTTTCTTCTTATTTTTTGTTTCGAAGTGGTGGAGGAATGGATTTTGACTTGTTTTTATCATAAAATCAGAACAGCCATATGTGCGTTTACATATATCCATCCATTCACACACAATCAGAAAAGCTTCACACACATTCTCTTTCTGTTCTGCTTCCTTCTGAGCTTGTAATTCTGAACTCAAGTCACGCACATTAAGCACAATACTCAGGCACATTAAGTACAAAACTCACGCACATTAACTTACACACTCACGCACATTAAGTACAAATCTCAGGCACATTAAGCACGCGACTCACGTACATTGAGTATATAACTCACGCACATTAATCTACCGCACAACCGCATGAGAAGCCACAAATGCACCTAATCCCTTCCCTATATATATATATATATATATATATATATATATATATATATATATATATATATATATATATATATATATATATTCCCAAGACCTCAAGAGAACCTCTGTGTTCAACTACATCTAATAACTCCGATGTAATAATTAAAATAATTAGCTAAGGACATCATTAATTAACCTGGTTACCATGAAATCCACCATGTATTCGAGTTGAAAAATCTACAACTACTATCCGATGATGGTTATATTTGACAAACTTAGCTAAAAATGTAGCTGAAAGCTTAAAAGGGGCTGAAGCTGAAAAGCTATAAGTTAGGAGCTATAAACTAAAAGTTGTTAAGCTAGCTATTATGCTTGAAAGTGTTTGGTAAAATTAGCTTTTTGATAAATTAATAAAAGTAAAAAGACAAAAATGACATCTTCCTAAAATTTAAATTAGTTGGTTTACATATTAAAATTTAACATTTTGTCTTTAAAAAAATAATATTTTAAAATAAAATTATTAGCATAATCATGATCTAGCATCCCATAATGAAGTAGCAATATTATTGTGAATCTCATTCATCTCATAATAATAATAATAATAATAATAATAATAATAATAATAATTGCATTGAAAGTTGCGGATAAAGGAAAAGGGAAAAAGGATTTTAATTGGGAAGAGTAATAATGTTATTTTTTTAAAATAATAATGATGAAGATGAATAAAAAATAAATAAATTATGAAGCTACTAGCTTATTTTGTAATGCTACCTAAGGTAGCATTTCAAAATAAGCTTTTATTTTAAGCTACGAGCTTATTTTAGAAACATTAGCAAACAAATCTTATAGCTTATTAATAGCTTAAACTCTTAAATAAGCTCTATTAAACATATGCACTAACCCACTCTTACTTGCATAATGTAACATATTTATTCGCTAATGAGCACAATTAACATAGTGAGTTGCTAATGGAGGCAGCAGTGGCATTAATTCAGTCTTATCCTATTCTTCTCCCTACTCATAATACTCACTCATCAGCATTAAATATGTACGTGCACGTACTATGCGTATATTGCCGCCCACCCAATGCAAGCTTAATTGCACTATATCAACAAAGTAACAGTACTTATGGCGGCGGGTTTTCCTAATTTTCCTCACAATTTTCGGCTAGTCGACATGGGAGAATTCGGAGGTTTTTGTCACAGTTTCTCGCAGGTTGTTACTGATGATTTCCAGCCGCCACGGCGTATGCATGATGTTCATGTGTTAATCGTTGAGCATCGCGTGAATTTCGTCGCCAATGCTAAGGAGTTTGGAACTTCCATGATTGCAGAGATTCTTAAGCAATTCTCGTATGAAGGTATAATTATCAACTTCAATTCTTCGTCTTTTTATTTAATTTTAAAAAATATAAATTTATGTTTTAAGACTTTTAATAAAATTTATTTGTGTTAAGTTTTTGCATGCCGCATGAATCTAATTGGTAGAACAAAAACAGTAACCTTTTAAGTCAACACAGTTGAAAGCGAAAGACTAAAATATGAAATTTTCATTGATTTTAATAAAAAGATCAGTGCATGCAGGTACTAAATCTGCAGATAATCAATTACATGTAATATATGTCCATCAAATACTGAGTGTCTGAGTATAGTACTAAATATTGTTTTCTTAATTATATTTTCGTTTTTTTCACTCAAAATATCTTTAAAAATATTCTTAGGGTTTACATAAATTATTCAAATTAAATCAATTTTATATATATATATATATATATATATATATATATATATATATATATATATATATATATATATATATATATATATATATATATATATATAAAACAGTTGTCGTACACAGCTCAAATCCCATGATGCGTAATTGGGTACATATTTTAATTATTATTTAAAAAAAAAAAACTAAATAGAATTTTTGCAAACTAAACACATTTAGTGGAGTATTCATCTTTATTTTATTTCATTTTATTTTATTTATTTCCCTTATTTATGGTAAAAAGTAACGTATATGTACAACTAACAACCACCGTTCCTTGCTTTAATTATATTTATAAATTATAACAAGTAAATATTAATAATGTTTTTAAAAAAAGAGAGTAAATATTAATAATTGTGGCAATTTATATCCTACACCACGGTGCGCGTTGCACTATGCGCCCAGATGCAAAACGACGTCGTTTTAATTATTTTTTATTTTTAAATTTCCCGTCCCAGTGAATGGCAGTAGTTTTTTCTTTAAAAAAAAAAAAACCCGCTGTTCAAGAATATACATAATGTTATACTAGAATACACATAATGCTATACATGAATGTACATAATTATATAACAAAATATACATACTCTTTTTAAAAGATAATATACATAATCTAACATAATACATAATAAACATAAACTTTTAACATAATACACATCAACTCTTAACATAATACACATCAACTCTTAACATAATACACACAGATTTTCTGATTCGGATGTACATAATTGTATAAAAAGAATGTACATAATTGTATAAAAAATACACATAACTGTATGAACCAATACACATAACGTTGTGAACAAATACACATAACGTTGTGAACAAATACACATAATTTCAGCAACTTCCTACCGCGCCTCCCAACACTACCCAAAACGACGTCGTTTTGGGAGGCGCGCGGCGCACAGTGCTATGTGCGCCGTGGTGTAGGATATAACAATTGAATAATTGTAAGGTATAATAAATTAATAAGTAGACTGGGCCACATGTGAACTATGTGGTGCTGTGAATAACTAGACGTGGTTTGGAGCTATTACATAAAAGCATGGTTTTATGTGTAAATTCAATATTTAAGTAATAATTTCAAGATTTTTTTAATTCCAAAAAAAAAAAAAAAAAAAAAAGCGTGAGGAATGTCAGATCAACATCAAAACGGAAATAATATAAACTATTTAATTCATTATTAACTTTTAGTACGTATACCATATTATTGTTACGATCAGTTTTTATATAGTTGAATTATGTAATATTTTTTCAGCTAAAATAATTAAATTTATGAACTCTAATCATATATCTTAATTTGGAATTAATTATTAATTTGAATTGACTTTGGCAGTGACTGTGGTGGAAAGTGCAAGCCGTGCACTGTCAAGACTCTGCAATGGCGAGGAGAAATTTGATGTGTTAATGGCCAACTTTTACCAACCAGACAAGAAAATTAACGTTAAACTCCTCCAAGAAGCCATTAAAAGAAAATTGCTTGTCGTCCGTAAGTACTTTATTCGACCTAGGTGTTATGTGTCATATATATCCATTTTACAAAGATTAATGTAATCTGGTAAACAATACATTATTGTTTAATCAATAATACTGCAGAGATTAATGACGAAAAGGATGAAAATGGAGATGAGGTGGCAAGGAGCGCTATAGAGCAAGGAGTGTTCCTTTACCTGGAAAAACCATTTCCGGTAGACATGTTGAAGTACCTGTGGCAACATGTGTATAGGGAAAGAAGACTCATGAATCACAGTAGTCAGGCTTTGGATATAAGCATGGCGGCAGAAACGTTAATCAATGGACAAAACAACATTGTTTTCACCGACAATCAGACCTCGACAGATTCAAACAACATTAATCATTTGCCCAGGAGAAGAGGGGCCAAGTTTAAGTGGACTGAAGAGCTCCATGCCAAATTCATTGACGCCGTCAATCAGCTTGGAGAAGGAAGTACGTTCCTGTCTCACTGCACCTTACCCTTATTTGGATTACGAGAGAAATCCTATTTCCTATCATCCTTTTGAATGTGAATAAACCTCACTTTGTGACTTTAACAGTTAAAGTATCACAAAGAAGTAAATCAACCTAAATTATCTATAGTTGATCAGCTCAAACAAAGGGAAAAATGATTTAAACTTGTGACCTTGACTAGGGTGAAGTTACCTCCACCTTACCTTTATTATTTTGGAGCTGACCTAATATTATTTTTTACAGGTCACATATAACATGTAGACGTGTTCGAACTTCTTTATATTATTGTTAGGAAAAAATGTGATAATATAATGAATTGTTTATCTTTATAAAGTGTACGTGCAAGTAGTGTGCAATTAAACCAACATTATATTACTTGATTGATGGTTTGATTGCACACATTTTAAGTCCAGTGACTCAAATGTATTAAGATGATAAATTTATAACCTATTTGACACTTTTTGCTTGTTTTCAATTACTATTTATTTTTTTTGTGACAAATAGATTGCTATCCGAAGGAAATATGGGAGAAGATGAAAGTGCGAGGTCTGACAAGAGAAAAAGTTGCTAGTCATTTGCAGAGGTGTCGTGACAACAAATGGAGGCCAGTGGAGGAGCATGGAAATCGTCGCCGGTCACGAACAATGCAATTCTCGTCCTCTCAACCTAGACGCCCCCGTCACAAAAAGTTCGGGTTTATGCCAGCAGTCGAAGAAACCAATAGTAATGGAAACATGCCCCCGCAAGAACAAATTATTGCTGCTGCGAATGATGAAATTTTGTCCCAAAATGGTGGTAATAATAATGAGTTGGGAAGCTCAGTGACAGTGTCCACTAATTTCGTCACTGATACTGATGTAAGAGTACCACCTCAAACTGTTCAAAGTTCCGCAGACATTATTGTTCATGATCGTCGCCTGTTGGAAGATGTACAAACCCACCCAGTCGTCACTAATTCACTGAACGTTGACGAAGCAGCTGTTGTGAATTCGTCGCCAATCCCCTGGCAGGTCGTCGGAGAGCCGGAGTTTGATGAACTGCTGGATATCCCGGAGGAAATGTTACCTTGGATATTCTTCGGCGGACAACAACCAGATTTTCCTTGGCAGCCGACGCTTAGCAGTTAGCAGGGCGGAATCCTCCGGAAACCGGATCGGATTATGGTGAATATGACATTCTAATCTAAGTAATTAAATGAATGTGTTTTGTCCAGAATATTTCTATGACTTTAACATAAGTAGTCTGTGTGAAGAGTTTTTGATTTCCAGTCTGTATCCTTAATTAATAATTAGGTGACAAATTTGGAGCATAATTTCTAATTTGAATGGGATATATTAAAATGCCCTTGGTTACTTATGCTAATGCTCATCAGCAGTGTTGTAAAATTTTACCTAGGTAGCAGTCGTCTAGATGCCAGCTAGGCCCTCGGAACGTCAAGGCTATGCCAACATGATTTCAGCATTAGTTGTGGCCGGCAAGCTGACTAATTGATCGGTTCGACCAACTAGGCAGTTTAGCCGGCCGTTTTATTTTAAAAAATCATTTCGCTCAAAACGACATCGTTTTGAACAAAACGATATTAAAACTTGTTGTGCAAACACATACGGTTAATAGAGATTACTATCAACGATGCTATCACTTATCGCATTGTAACAATCCAACCATCGCACACATAAAAGGATTCAATTGCCCTTCATCTAGGTGAAGCTGAATCTTGGACTTTGTTTAAAGGTTTAATTTGATATGGGCATGGAAAAAGGGTACTAGGAATCTTGTTGTGCAATTTAATCTTTTGTCACCCTCGGATGAGGTGTGTCAAACTTTGGAGGAAGACAAAGTGGGATGCTGTTAGACTAGAAGTGTAATGGCGAGGAACCTCTCTTGAAGTCTTGGGGTATTCTCCCATCCTTTTATATCCAATATATATATATATATATATATATATATATATATATCTACAAATTTAATAAGAGCGAATAATGTTAGGCCCTTAACTGGAACAAAAAAAATGTCGGTACTAATTGTTTCTTAAAATGAATGGTTCATATTATTTTGATTTTAGTATCTTTTAATGATTTTCCTTATTTACCCTCTATTATATTATTTTCTTCCCTTAAATAACCCTAAATTCCGTTAGTTTAAACTTTAGTAACGGAATATTCCGTTAACTATTTATTATTCTTAACATACTCTTAATTTATATAAGGTCTTAGGTTTGAACCTCATCCCAAGTATAGTTGGTATAATTGTTAAACATATATTATGAATATGTTAAAATGTATTAAAAAATATATAATATAAAATTTAACATAAACTTTAGTCAAATAATTAGCTCAACTAAATACATAGCATTCAAAGTTGAGCATCAAAGATTATAAATCAGGAACTACTTTAAAGTCATTTGATTTTCTTGAATTTTTTATTAAAAAAAACAAACAAACAAATTTAGGTTAAGTTTTTTTTTTGTTTTGTTTAATTAATATTCTTTTGATTATATTTAGAACAAAACTTAATATTTCAATTATGCTTTTACATTATTGGAATGATTTATGCCATTATGGTATTAATATTTTTTTGTATTTTTTTTATAATGGTACAATTGTACATTACTTAATTTACAAATATTATACTATTATTTTTTTTATCGGACAAAATTGTTCTTACATCATTGTCAGACCTGCGCGGCCTAACAACAAAGTTATTGATCATAAATACAATTACACATGGACTCTAAAACGGTAGGATCATTTTCCAAATAATTGACAATGTTAACATCCTACTAGCTCCAATTGAACAAGTTTACACATCAAAAATTTATCAATGCATGAAAACCTTATAACGAAATTTGTAAGTTAATTTTTACTATATCATTATATTAATATCTATTGTAACCATATATTTTGAATTATTTATTATCATCCTCTATTGACAGCAATTGTAGCAATTGTCATGGACAAACTCTCAAAACAATTTGTCGCAACAAGGAATGGAAATTTAAAAAAAAAATCATTGATTTCTTTATTGTTGAAGAAAAGTATATATGACAATTTATTGCTCTTATTAATTAAATAAATTAGTACCTACAACAAAAATAATACATATGCATTTAGTTAATTTAGAATTATATGTATATAATGCTTTATTTAAAAAAAATTATTCATTATAAAAAAATTGAGTAAATACTAGTCAAGGTCCCTCGAGTTTGGTGGTTTCACCAGCTATAGTCCCTAACTTCAGTAATTACCATTCGTAGTCCTCTGAGTTGCGAAATGTGACCTGCTACCATCCTTCCGTGATTTCTTTCCGTCTCAGCCGTTAAATGCAGGGGTAGATATGTTTTTTGACATAAATAATTCATTTTTAGTTTCTTTCGTATGGACCTTCTTCTCCTTCATTCTTCTTTAATTTCTCTCTCTCTCTCTCAACGTTATCTTTAGATGAATAACAAACAGAACACACCGGACCTTTGCTCACCACCATTGCAATCACCCTAACACAGACGGAACCACCCCAACATGGGCGGAAAAATCGAGGACCATCGGAAACTGGGAACATCCGCAAGCATCTCCAATGCAGTCCATACTCCAGGCGCCATTTCAGAGAAACACCATCCACATACAAGGGTCAAATAACAGAGGCGAACAAGCCGGAAACATTCCATTCGCCGGACAAAGCACCCAACGCCAGAAAAATCGATAGAAACTCGAACACCAGAAAGAGACATAAAATCCGAGCAATAAATCTGAAAAAATACCTTCATCTATAGGTGGTGATACGTCAGTGAACTCACCCCTGAACCACCGATAAAGTCAACGTTATCTTTAGTCTCTAGCAGATAGATGAGCATTAAAACTTGAGTGCCACTAAAGTTCAATCCCTGCCATAAGGTGTGAGAGTTTGGGTTTGAGATGGGTTCCTAGATATAAACTCTTCGAGTTAGTTCGGCACTCAAACGCCCGAGTAATGGAGATGGAGATGTCAAAAGAAAAAATGGTGAAAATGCCCAAGCTTCAATAGATCGATGAGAGTAATAGCAGAGATTGAAAGTTAAAAATCTGAAAATGAAACATTGGATTGACAACTCAAGAGTGGTTGTCTTCAAATATGTGAGTTTGATAGAGCCTTACATGCATCTGCAAGCTGAAGCTATCACTAGATTTCATTATCTTCTTTTTGGCTCATATTCTTTATGCACTGGAAAAAACCTCGTATTGAGTTATTAATAACGCCGACGAAGGGATGCGTCTTGTTAAATGTCTGTGGCGAGGAAATTAAAACCACTGCAGGGCAGAACTAGTTTTCGAGAGAATCAAGACTTGCGCCTGGTCGGAGACCGAAACAGTGAGAGATTGGTCGAGGATGGGGTCGGGGTAAGGGAGAGCGAAAAGGGAATCAGAGAAAGTGAATGGGTGTCAAGAGAACGACGGAAACAGAGAGTGAATGGGTGTAGAGTGAGTTCGTCGGAACAAGGTGCGGCGAGCTTGGCGGTGAAAATGGTGGACAAGGGGAAGTCAAAGTAGAGAGTGACGGAGACGTGGGTGGATAAAGGTTTATCAGAATCAGTGGAGTGTGGGTCAACTGGCGTGGTGTCAGAGAAAGAAGGAAGACGAAGTGGTTTTCTTGCAGCTGGAGATTGGAGAATATAATGGATTGATTAATGGAGGATTATCAGCTGGAGCAACACCACTTGTGGCAATACAAAGGATCAGTATAGCAAATGACATATTTACCCCCATTTTTGACGGCTTAGACAGAAGGAATTAACGGAAGGATGGTAGCAAGTCATATTTGGCAACTCGGAGGACCACGGATGGTAATTACGGAAGTTAGGGACTATAGGTGGTGAAACCATCAAACTCGAGGGACCTTGGCTGGTATTTACTCTAAAAAAATTTAAAAGAAATATAATTTCATTAGTTATATTATCTTTATTTTCTACAATTCAAAGATTCCTTACCTTCAAATTTATTAATTTATTATATTCACTACATTGTTCATTGTCTTCTTTTTTACATTATCATTTAATTAAATATCAAAGTTATAATATAAAATATGTTATATATATATATATATATATATATATATATATATATATATATATATATATATATATATATATATATATATATATATATATATATATATATATATTTATTTATTTATTTATTTATTTATTTATTTATTTATTTATTTATTTATTTATTTATTTACCAAGTATTTTATACAAATATAATAAATATTAATATTTTGTTCAATACTTTCACATGATAACCTACGGCACACATCTCATAACACATGTAGGGAAAAAACTACCACTACTAAATATCAATAGGTGTTTGTACGCTAAAGAGTTCATATTACAACTAAAATCTCAATCATATACGCAGCAAGACAAATCTAAAACTTCCTACACCATAATCTTTGCATCTCATTGCATGATGAATCCTTATATGCTGCTATCAGTAACCTAATAGCAAATGACACACTACCAATAAAAAACAAAAAGGACATGTACTGAAGATGAAAACAATAGCAATACTACCCAAAAGAGAATTCAGAAGAATTAGATAAATTTAAACCAAAAGTAGTATTTATTTAGACGATATCGCTTTAACACTAAGTATTTAGACTAACGTTATTACAAAGTTGCAAACATTTATTTTAGTGACAATTATAATCAATCTCTCATATATTATCTTGCATTTATATACTTTAAATTACCGATTTAAATAAACAAATTCAACATTTATTTACCTATGCATGAACATCTCCTATATAATATTGCATTAATATAATTTGAAATACTTATTTAAAAATAATTATTGGGCATTATACAATTCGCGCAAAGCGCGTATACTAATAAGAGCCCAAGAGAGTTAGGGCTATAATGGGTAGAAAAAATGGCGGTCACAGATTTTAATCAAATGAATGGCTCAGATTAATTAAAAGATTGATCATATTTAAATTTTACACTAAAATTTCCTAAAATACCCACACACCGTTACTAATTCCGTTAAAATTTTAAGAATTGCCGTTAGTTCACCGTTAACTTACTCATTGATTTCAATAAAAAAAGGTCTTAGGTTCGAAACTCATCCCAATTAAAGTTGGCATAATTAGTACTCTA